TGAAATTACGCCATGTATATTAGATCATACTGTGATGAAACTAGAAGCTGGTCCCGAAAAGCCTCACAAAAATTATGCCAACACATGGAAATTAATAACCCCTTGAATAATTAATAGGTCACAGAAGAAATGAAGGAAGAAATTAAGAACATTTCTACAATCAAAAGATAATGCCAGGGGCCAGGGATTTAGCTCAGTGGTTCCACTGCCTACCTTGCAAGCACAAGGACCCAAGTTTGATCCCCCATACCAAAAAAAAAAAAAAAAAAAAAAAAAAAAACCAAACCAAAAAAAAAAAAAAAAAAAAAGTCAGTACAACATACCAGAACCTATAGGACACAACGAAAGCAGTCCTAAGAGGAAAAGTTTATAGCTGGAAATAACTGTATCACATGCAAAAAAAAAGTGACTCCAAATAACTTAATGATACACCAGAAGGTCCTAGAAACACAAGAACAATCCAAATCCAAAGCTGGTACAAACAAGGAAATTATAAAGATCAAAGCAGACAGTAATGATATTGAGAGTAAAAAAAAATTCAAAGAATGAAGACCCGGTTTTTTAAAAGAGTAAACAAAATAGATAAACCCCTAGCCAATTTTACCAAAAGAAGCAAGAAAGGATGTAAATCAATGTAATTAGAAAGGAAAAAGGCAAAATCACAACAGACACTGCTGAAATCTAGAAGTCAGTTATGCAAATCAATGGTCAACAGGATATTAAATGGGGAGCTGAATGCTTTCCCTTTAAATTCAGGAACAAGACAAGGATGTCTGCTATCACCACTACGGTGGTTCAATATATTTCTTGAAACATTAACCTGAGCAGCCAGGGAAGAGAAAGAAATAAAAAGGATGTGTATAGGAAAAAGTCAAATTATCATTATTTGCTGATAACATGCTCCTCTACATGGAAGACCCAAAAATCCAGCAAAAGAATCCTAGACCTAATAACCAAATTCAGTAGTGTAACAGGATAGAAAGTCAACCTACAAAAATCAGTAGCATTCCTGTACACCAATAACAAACTTATGAAGAAAGAAATTAGGAAAAAAATAACATTTACAATAGCTTCAAGAAAAATTAAATAGGGCCAGGGATTTAGCTCAGTGGTTCCACTGCCTGCCTCGCAAGCACAAGGACCTGGGTTTGATCCCCAGCACACACACACACACACACACACACACACACACACACACAAAAAAAAAAATCTAGGAATTAACCTAACCAAGTAAGTGAAAGACTTCTACAATGAAAACGATAACACTCTGAAAAAGAAGACTGGAGCGGACATCAGAAAATGGAAAAATATCCTGTTCCCAGATAGGCAGGACAAATACTGTCAAAATGTCTGTACTTCCAAAATTGATACAGAGATTTAATGCAATTCTAATAAAAATACCAACAGCATTCCTCAAAGAACTAGGGAACACAGTCCTAAAATTAATATGGAACCAGAAGAGACCAAGAATATAAAAAACAATCCTGGGCAACAAGAGCAAGGCAGGAGGAATCAGAATTCTGGATTTCAGTTATAACACAAAGCTATCGTGAGGGGGTAGTGGGGTGGCTGGGGGACAACCCAGCATGGTATTAGCAAAAAAAGGACAACAACAAAAAGATGGAACAAAACAGAAGATGTAGAAATAACCCTAAGCACATTCGGCTACCTGATCTTTGACAAAGGGGCCAAAAACTATACAACCAAGGATATCCTCTTTGACAAATGGTGCTGGGAAAACTGGCTATCCACAAGCAGATTGAGTCTGGACCCCTATCTCTTCCCATATACTATCCTAGAATCAAAATGCATCAAAAACCTAAACATTAAAACAGAAAAACTTTATCTGCTGAGAGATAAAATAGGTAAAACTCTTGAAGTCACAGGCACAGGCAAGGACTTTCTGAACATAACTCCAACTGCACAAGAAATAACACCAAGAACCAACAAATAGATTATTATCAAATTAAAAAGCTTTCGGGCCATGGATTTAGCTCAGTGATTCCACTGCCTGCCTCACAAGCACAAGGTCCCAAGTTCAATCCCCAGTACCAAATCCAAAAAACAAAAACAAACAAAAATAAATAAAAAGCTTTCATACAGCAAAGGAAAAAAACAAAAAAACAAACAAAAAAAACCAAACAGGGTGCAGAGACAAACTATAGAATGGGAAAAAATGTGGATAACTTTTCATTGGACATAAGATATATCTAGAATACATCAAGAACTTAAAAAAAATGGCACGCAAATTCAGACAGATTCCATCTTACTGGAGAAAGAATAGCAACTGTCAAGAAATCAGATAACAACAAATGCTGATGAGGCTTTGGGGAAAAAGAAACTCTGCTTCAATGTTGGTGGGAATGTAAACTAGTATAATCACTGTGGAAATCAGTATGGAGATTCCTCAAAATACTGAAGCAAGAAATGCAATTTGATCCATCTACCTCCTTCTAGGTATCTCCTTGAGAGCATTACAGACATTATATTACAGTGACACATGCATACCTAAGTTTATAGCAGTACAATTCACAATAGTTCAGTCTTGGAAGCAGCCTATTTGTCTATCAACAGATAAATGAATAAAGAAAATGTGGTATTTACATACAGTGGAGAACTACTCTGCCATAAAGAAGGATAAACCTGAGTCATTTGTAGGAAAATGGATGAACTTCTGAGACCATAATGGTAAGTGAAATAAACAGACACATAAGCTTTGAGAATCTTAAAATCTAAATTAAGAGCAAAACAAAAGATAGATAATAGGAAGCAAAAAAAAAAAAAAAAAAAAACGCCTGTAATCCCACACTCGGGGAGGCTGAGACAGGAGGATTGCTGTGAGTTCAAGACCAGCCTGGGCTACATAATGAGTTCCAGGTCATTCTCAACTACACAGTGAGACCCTGTCTCAAAAAAACAACAACAACAAAAAGATAGATAATAGGAAAAAAAGAAGAGATGGAGGTGGGGGAGGGAAAAATGTAGCTGGGAAGGAAGAGAGGGGAAGATGTGAAATGAATATATGTTATGTAGTATGTGACTCTTCACAATGTAATCATTATGTACTGCCAACATGAACTAATAAAAAGTATAAAAAAAAATCAAGGAAAAAAGTCAACTGTGTCAATCTCAGATGTCTTCTAAACCCTAAGGTTCCGAAGTTCATTTCTTTTTAGCTGTTTGATTTTAAATTATGGTAAGAACAGGAATATACACACACTCATTAAGAAATAACCTAAGAGCTTTTTTCTTTTTTTTTCCATTCTGGTACTGGGCATTGAATTCAGGGCCTTGTGCATGCTAGGTGTGATGGTTAGGGCGGAGTTTCAACTTCACTGGCTTTGGGAACTGCCCCGTTTTTGTGGAGCACACTGCTAGGTGTGTTTGGGTGAGCCCCAGAGGCGTGGCTGTGAGGTCTATGTCTGGCCCTTCAACCCTTCCTCTCTGGCATTGTTTCACTGCTCTGTTTGCTGGCCACCATGATCTAAGCATCTTTGCTTCACCACACCTTCCCACCATGATGTTTCTTCCTTGGAACCAGCTGATGATGGAACCCAAACCATGAGCCAAATTTAATCTCTCTTCAGGATGTGTTATGCAGTTTATTTTTGTAGTAATAGGCCCTATTATTTTTATTTTGAAATAGGGTCTCTTTAAGTTGCCCAGGCTTGCCTTGAATTTATAATCTTCCCATCTCAGTTTCCTGAGTAGCTGGGATTACAAGTGTACATCACTATGCCTGGTTCCTGAATCAGTTTCACACACACACACACACTCATGTAATTACTATATGAACTCTGTGAAGAATATGATACTTGACCTTTAGAGAGTGGGAAGATTGTCCAAAACACTAGAATTGTCAGGTCTCAAATTTCCAAATCTCACTTTATTAGGCCACACCACTTTCTAACTCCAGAATTATCCATCCTTTAGGTTTAGCCATATTTCCATTCCCATCTTGGATTAAAGATATCTTTCTTCTAAATTATACTGAGAAACAATTTTTTTCAGCCAGGTGTGGTGATGCAAGCCTGTAATCTCAGAACTCTGGAGGCTGAGGTAGGAGGATCGTAGTGAGCTTGAGGCCAGCCTGAACTTCATGGAAAGACCTTGCCTCAAAAAGCAAACAAACAAACAAAAAATGCAAACAACAAAACACAAAACAACAAAAAAACGTTTTCATAGGGGTCTATTTAAAAATTTATTAACTATTAGAGAAGTTACAAACATCTAGTATAACTACGATTGTAGAGTTTAAATAATGCAATACTTCATTAGCTTTTAAAATTAAAGATCAAAAGTATTTTTTTTTCTCACCCAGGCCAAGGAAAGATGACTTCAATTTAGAATAAACACTTACTTAAATCAACTAAGACCCTAAAAAAGAGTATTTTCTTCTATTAAGTTTAATAAAGCACTGAGAGTAAGATGGGTATTTATCACAGGTTAAGTGGCAAGGGAGAAAAGATGCAACAACATTTTATTTTTAACTGCTGTTTCTCAGAATTTTCAGAAAGAAGGAATCTACTGAATAAAGAAAGTAGAATGTGCTGTTTCATCTTGTCTTGGAGTCTGAAGGGACCTTGGAGACTATCTAGTTCAATTTCTTCATTTCTTTTGAGACGGGTATTATGTTGTTCAGGCTGGCCTGGACTCCGGAGTTCAAGTGGTCCTGCCTCAGTCCCCAATAAGTTGGGATAATAGGCTTGGTTACTTCCTTTATTCTTTTCTTGGTACCAGGGATCGAACTTGGGTCCTTGCCCTTGCGAGGCAAGTGGCGGAAACACTGAGCTAAATCCCCAGTCCCTACTTCCTTTTTTCTTTCCTTTTTTTTTTTAACTAAATAGATCTGAAAGTCCACTTGTTATAAATACTTCTTCTAGAGGGAGATCATTTTTTCCATGCTATGCCCTTGATTTTATATGAAAATTGTGATCATTTTTACTTTTCATACATTGTATCTTATGGTGGAACAACTATGTATTGAATTCTACATTTCTAAAATTAAAAAATGCAGTCTTATTTATTCATATACATGTATAGTGCCTATGTCCCAGGGAACTATTTGTTAACCAAACTTTCAGTTATAAAACACACGAATGAGTAAATCTTGGAAAAGGGATAACATCTTTGATATTGTCAATTCCCAAGATGCACTGTAGGTAGCGTTCAAATCCCATCCCAAAACCTCCATGTGGCACAGATCCAAATCGACGAAGGTCCAGATACCTATTTTTAAAAACAGAAAATCATCATCTATAAGCAACATATGAGATGAAATGTTATGATTACAATGTTATGTTTCAAAAACATTTTGTAATCATTTGTTATGATCCACATCATTGTGGCAGGGCAGATCGGTCTTTCCTCACACAGAGATAATGGAAATAGAGAAGTTAAAGCAATCCGTCTATCCAAAGTCACTCAGACAAGCAGCAGCAGATCCTGCTGTGCAGTCATGCACTTTGGTCACTTGATCCTTTTTCAAGTGACTTAACCCCTTTTTGTATAAAAAACAAAAAGATTAGACTATAAACCACATTGGGGGTGGGCTGGTCTCAATCTTATTTTTTTGGCACTGGGGATCGAACTCAGGTCCTTGCCCTTGCGAGGCAGGTGGCAGAATCACTGAGCTAAATCCCCAGCCCTCAATCAATCTTTCTTATCTCTATATAATGTTCCAAAGTAAGAAGTTATTAAATGAAAGTTGATTGTTTGAAGGGACCAAAATATATTCTTCAGTGCTACAGAGAAATAGATATACAGCTCTCTACTTCTGGCCCAATGAAGATGCCCAAGTAATTTTTCTGGCAGGCTACCCAGACTCTAATGCTCATCCATGCATGTATGCTCTATTTCTACTTAAGACCACATGGCTAAGAAATGGTAAAGGTGTGACCAAAATTCAGATTCCAGTATACTAGCATGGAGCAAAAATATTTTAGGAAGGAAAGGAAAACTATAAATATTTTAATTATGCTGGGTTGTGGTGGTGCACACCTGTAATCCCAGCACTTGGGACACTAAGGCAGGAAGATCGCTGTGTGTTCAAGGTCAGCCTGAACTACAAAGTGAGACCCTGCCTCAAAAAAAGAATTAGGAGCCGGCAATTTAGCTCAGTGGTTCCGCCGCCTGCATTGCAAGGAGAAGAATCCAAGTTCAATCCCTGGTACCAAAAAAAAAAAAAAAAAAAAAAAAAAATTATGCCATTTATAGAAATTCTTTTTATTTATTTATTTATTTATTTATTTTGGTACTGGGGATAGAACTTGGATCCTTGCGCTTGCAAGGCAGGCAGTGGAACCACTGAGCTAGATCTCTGGCCCAGTATAGAAATTCTTGAGTTATATGACAAGAATCAAGTAAGTTTATATCTTTTTAAAAAACAGCTTCTTGAATGATTTGTAAAATCAGTTCTACAATAAGACTTAAGCTGCATAGCTGGTGACCATTCGACTTGTCCGACATAAACACCGCCTAACAGCTGTTTTCCCACTATTATAATAATGCCTAGATGTATTGGTATCTTAGGGAGTTAAGAATATGTATGTATTTTTCTACAATAAAAGATGAACTGCAACTAGCTGAGCTAGAATCAGGTGAGAGATAAGAGGTCATTTAGTATAAAATTTTAGTTTAGTAAGAACTGTGAGGAATAATAGAAGTCTTGGCTCTTGTCATAAATACCCAGCATCTGAGCTTGCTGTCAGAAGTCCTGTGACTTTTTTGGGTGTTTCTAAACTTTTCATACACAGATGGTTATTATCCACATGGATGTCTACAAACTAAATTCAGCATAGGATTCAATTTATCAGTTTGACAGATGGAAAAACCAGCTACAGAAAAGATGCTATAAAATTTGTACAACTAGTTACTGATTTTATTTGCACATGGCATATAGAGATAGGAAGTGAGTACATTGTTAGAAACCTGGTTTTGCTACTCATAGTGTGGAGGAAGACTGACTAGTACTGATCAAAGACTTCAGAGTTCTAAGATCTTTTTTAAAAAAAAAAAGTGTACTGGGGATTAAACCCAGGACCTTGCTCATCCTAGGCAAATGCTACACAGCTGAGGCACATCTCCAGCTGTTCTAAAATCTCTGGCTCTCTTTTTTTTGGTACTGGGGATCCCAACTCGGGACCTTGCTCTTGTAAGGCAGGTGCAGTGCCACTAGGCTAAATCCCTAGCCTAAGATCTAGGATCTCTTTTACCTATACTATAATTACTATGTAAAAAGAATTAAAAATTCAAATCATAAACACTTATTATATTTGGAGATCTTAAGTGTGGAAACTACAGCTGAGAAAAGGATAGTATTGAAATGACTAATAAAGACCAGAAAAGGCCTGAATTATTAACAAATAATTAACTTTTTATTAGTTAAACTAGTTTTTACACACTATGAATTTATCTCACAGACAGAATCCAAAGAAAAATGCATACATTTGCTTGTTCAGGCTTTTTTATTAAATAGCAAGACCCAGAACAAAGGCAGAAAGAGGGCAGGTAACTAGCATTTACTGAGCTTCCACAGAGTATGCATCTCCACCCTACATTATTTCATTTTCATCCTCACAACCCTCTCAAGCAGGGATTTTCACTCCATTTTACGGTCAGGAAAAACAAGACTCTCAGAGAAATTAAATGTCATTATTAGTAACTGTACAGCACTCAAAACCCAGTACCTGAACTTGATTTTATCATCTCTGAAATTTAATCCTTTTTTTTTGGTACTGGAGATTGAACTTAGGACCTTGTGCTTGTGAGGGAGTTACAAGTGCCACTAAGCTAAATTCCAAGAAATCTAATCCTTTTATTACCAAGTCAAATGTGTCATTTGTCTGTTCTTCCTGAGGCCAGCAATGGATTAATGATATTGTCGGTATTATTATACCAAGATTCTAGAGGAATGTGATTACAGAAATACAAATAAATAATTTATCTATATTGGAAAAGACTTGAGCACAGAGACTACAGAAAGAAAACCAGAATAACTTTGGGGAAGTGAAATGTATGAGTGCAGACATCTAAGTAGTTCAGATTTGCATATATATATTTTTTTCTTTCCAGTACTGGGGATTGAACTCAGGACCTTGTGCCTGTGAGGCAGGCATGGTGCCACCGAACTTAATCCTTGGCTCTAAGATTTGTATAGTTTTAATTTATTTATTTAATTTGGGGGGAGGGTACTGGGGATTGAACTCAGGCCCTTGCACTTGTGAGGCAGACGGTGGAACCACTGAGCCAAATCCCCAGCCTTGATTTGTATAGTTTTTAGGGTACTCAGGATCACTTAATTGAAGTCTCCAATTTCACACACAGAGAAACTGAACTACAATGGCTAGGAGCAAAAGTTCATTCAGAGAAAAGTTGATTCATTGTCAATTTCAGCTGCCTACTTCTGTGAGATATTGGTTAGTCACATCTCTAGATGGTAGGTTTAAAAGAGTGATAAAAAGGAGGTGGTAGTACTTACCTCTCAGAGTACAGTGAAGATTACATGAGATAGTATACACACAAATGTTAACATAGTTATCTGACATGTAGTAAGTGATAATTAAATGGTACTCATTATTTTTAGTATTTTACAAGGCCTTAAAGGGAGCAAGCAATATTTAGAGGCTTCTGTTCAGTTCTTAACATTCTTCCACAGGGTCTTTAGAATAAAATTTAAAAATCTATGTAACATTAAGACAGGAAGCTAGAGTAAGTATCATTAAAGTTGATATTCTTACCATTGGTAGGCTTCTGTAAGTCCTAATCTGCAAAAGGAATGTAATAGAACTGTTTCAGGCAATGGCAATAAGGTATCATACGCTAAACATCTGATGGGGGTTGTGTGCAAAGGGTTCTTTATAAAGAAGTACACAATAATCCTGTGCTCTCCAATAACATGCAACAGAGTGGAGAAGCTGAAATTTTACAGTAAAGTTAATAAATCGCCCAAGCTATCATGAAATAAGTGGTAAAGCAACAAATGCTTTAAAATGAAAATAGAAACCAAAAGATGTGATTTATCTGACATGAGTTTATCTTTCTGTTGTAGAAAAAAAGCACTATTATTACAAGTAAAGGTGGCTGGGAGGCACACAGAGACCAGGGACACATGGACATAACTTTCCCTCTACACCACTGAAAGAATAATACAAATTCTGAGGCTGCCTTCCTACTAATATTGTTACAATTTAGTTCTTTCCTAATTTAAGAAATGTGAGAAATTTTAGGCTCTCAGTGCTCATTAAAATTTACCTCAGTCCTTTACTGTTTGGGACCAAATTGTACCTGAAGTGCTAAATACACCTAAAAATTTAAATATATAAAATTAGAGACAACATGACCATAGCTACAGACAGATTCCTGAGAGAGGAAAAACACTTATCTATTTCATTAGGAAAGATAAAGTTGGATATTATCAGATATTAGGTAAACATTTAATGTTATGAGGAAAGGTTTCCTAAAGGAAGGAAGCAAGCAAAGAAAACAGACAAATTAATCTTTCAACAGATGAGGTTTCTTGCCACATGTCATTTTTATTGTGCTTAAAAAAAAACCAGAATGATCAAATTCTTTCCATCTAAAGAGTCTGACCTTTACTTCAATTCTACAATTTTCTCACACTATGGTAGCAGTAAACAGGTAATGCCTAATAAAGGGATCTTCTCAGAACCTATTCATTCCCTTTCTTCTGGGGTTTAAGCCAACAGAGCAGTTCAAAAGATTATGATAATGGAGTCAGGGGTTTATTTCAGTAACACTGCACCTGCCTCAGTAGCATAAGGTTCTGAGTTCAATCCCTGGTACTGGGGGGAAAAAGACTGTAATTATAAAACTAAGTAACCCAAAAGACATATAGGTAGGGATCTTGGAAAAGGATAAACTTTTAAAGCATTTCTTCATCAGGAAAAGAAGGCCTTACAAATGGCTAGTTTCACAGGATATTTTCAAACAAGTATGGCTTTTCCAGTTATGATGAAACCTAGTATTAGCTGGAGAGAAGGATCAAGCATACAGACATGGAACTTTTTTTTTAATCTGGCAAGGAATAGTGGAAATCATGGAAAACAGAAGTTTATAACCTTGGTTAGTTTAGGAAGTCATTGTGGTTTGTTGGCAGACAATGTATATACAGGAGTGGTAGTTCAATTAGAAATATGATTCCCTACTTCCCTTCTCCAAAGCATTTTTCTATGTGTTTATGGATTCATTTCCAAGGTCTCAAACAGTAAATTAAAATAAAGCTATTCAAAGAGCTCAGCCAAGACCTGTACACAGCAGAAAACCTGAGGAGGGAAATCTGCTTATTCTAAACATCAGTTTCATAGATATTTCTAGTAGTTTTCTTTCTTTCTCTCTTTTTCTTTTCTTTTCTTTCTTTTTTTTTTTTTTTGTACCTGGGATTGAATTTAGGACCATGAGTTTGCAAGGCAGGAGTGGTGCCACTGAGCTAAATCCCCCAGCCCTTAAGTTTTCTTTTTCTATCTCTATTCTTTCCTGGTTCAGTCTCTTTATGTCCCAGTGGGAATCTGCCATTCACGAATAAGAGTACATAAAAAAGAACACATAAGTAAGAGGAAAATGTAGACAAACTTTGAGAAAGGAATTTGCCTCTTCCTTTTATTAAGTTTTTAAGAAGCTACTTTCTGAAGGGAGAGGCATTTACAAAGAGTGGGCAAATACAATTGTGGGCTTGTTTCTTATAACAGTTCCAGTCTTTAGCAAAGGAAAGCTCAGTTTCTCATTTCTCTGAGCACTTGCATTCCATTTTTTTTTTTTTTTTTGGTACTGGGGATCGAACTTGGATCCTTGTCCTTGTGCTGTCAGGTGGTGGGGAACCACTGAGCTAAATCCCCTGCCCCTGCATTCCATTTTTTGAATGCATCCTATATCTCTCTCTGTAGTAAACCTTCTCACATCTCTTTCCCTGATATATTCTGAAAATTCTTCTTCCATGAGAGGAGTCAGTGAGCCTGCAAATGTATTGTAAAATGGTGGGTTGTTTCAGTATTGAGGACCACAGACCTAACCTGGCAACAAAACCATGTGATATTTAAGGGGTAGGGGATGTAAATTAAGATGTGTTATATGCATGTCCCAACTCCTCACAATGAAATGTAATCATTGTGTACTGCAAATATGTACTTGTGAAAATTAGAAAAAAGAGGGGGTGGGGAAGCTAAGAGAGGTTAGAAACAACTTTGCTAAGGTCACAAGGAATCTGAGATCCCATCTGTCTGGTGTGGGACCCAAGTACTTTTCTTTGTTACTTTGCTAGAACTACCTTTGTGCATTTCCACCTTGGTTTCTAGAGTATGCTGTTCTTTTTTTTTCTTTTTTAGTTTGATCAGTACCTGGCCAGTCGCTGTTCTAAGATATGGTACCGTTCCTCCCTGAGGCTGCCACCAAAAAGCTCCCCAACCACAGGTGCTAGAAGATCAACAGCTGCAACCTAAATAGGAAAAAAGAAAAAAGAATTAAAAAAAAAAAAGCGTAAATAGCATTACATTTTCAAGTGATTCCAATGATAGTTTCTCAAGCAAGAGCATATTTTAAAAAACAATTTTACAATTGCTTTTTATTGCCTACCAGAATGTTTCTCACGTTATCTGTTCATGTTCTGTTTGAATATCAAATATCTAATATTTTTCCTATGTCAGTAAAAACACTTCACACATGAACTTTTTTTTTTTTTTTGGTACCGGGGATTGAACTCAGGTCCTTGCGCTTGCAAGGCAGGCCACTGAACCGCTAAGCTAAATCCCCAGCCTTGAACTATTTTAATAGCTGCCTAGTTGGTTGTTTAGAAGTATAATTTATTTAACTTTTCTTTTTGTTGAACTGTTACATGTGTGTACATTTTGGGATTTTTCTCATAAATAACGTGGCAATGAGACAGATAGATGTACATACATACATATGTATATATGTACTTATTTTGGTGCACCGATTTAAGCCTAGGCCTTTTGTATGTTAAGCATGTACTCTACAACTGAGCTACACTTCAACTCTTACAATAAAAAGATTTCTTTTTTTTTTTGGTACTGGGGGATTGAACTCAGTACCTTGTGCTTGCATGGCAGGCTAAATTCCCAGCCCAATAAAAAGATTAAATTCATAGTTTTTTATTATGTCATACAGTAAATTCTGATTATTAGTTAAATAAGTATAAACTGAAATAATGAAATACCATTTTGGAGTTTAATATCTTGGTAAAGATAAAAAGAAAAAACATAAACTGTATGCATAAGTGAACGGATAAACCAGTACTCTCATAGACTTGATATAACCTGTGCTGGTCAGCAGTTTGGCAACAGATAATCAACAGCCTTAAAAGTGCAACATGCTTTGAGTCAGCAATAGCAGTTCTAGGAATTGGTCCTAACAAAACAATCAGATTCGCAAAAAAGATTCACACACAGGATGTTTACGACAGCATTACTCACAAGAAAAGAAAAACCCTTCAAGTGTGCATCAACAGGAGGCAACTAGATAAATTTAAAGCATGGACAAAAGAAGACATGATGTAATGGGAGTATGAATTTATAATTTTTTATTTGTTCTTTCTTTCATAATGTGATGGGAAATGAACTTATAATTTTTTTCTTTCTTTCATAATGCGATGGGAGTATGAATTTATAATTCTCCCTCTCCCTTCCACCCTCTCTGTCTCTTTCTTTCTCTGTCTCTGTCTCTCTGTATACTGCAGGCTGGCCTTAAACTCACAGTGGCCTTCCTCCACTTTCCAAGTGCTGGGATTACAGGTGCATGTCACCACACCTAGCTTTTTTTATAATGAAGATGTATCACACTTTTGCCAGGAAACATCAAAAGCCTTTTAACAGAGTAAAATGACAGCTTGATATTTTGGTAATATTTAATTTTTAAGAATTTTTATTTGCTGTCTGTATTATTTTGTGACTTGTCAATTCTTTGGGGGTCTTTACTTTTTTAAGCCCAACATTCTGACAATATGAAACTAATTTAGTAAAACAAATTAAAAATTAGGAACCTACAAAATACATTTCAATCTTTAAAAGTCATACTATATTGTAAACTCTTTTCTTTTTGGTACCAGGTATTGAACTCAGGACCTTGTGCTTGCATGGCAAGTGGCAGCACCACTGAGCTAAATCCCCAGCCCCTATAAACTCTTTTCTTAAATTTTTGTCTCACTTTACCAATAATCCATCACTCCAGATTTGATTTCAGAACTTTTCATTGAAATACTTTACAAATTATTGAGATTAATAAAGAATAATTCAAGAATGTGCTCTAAATGTTATATATCCCACCTCATTAATCTGAAAACATTAAAGAGAACATATCAGGTAAGATTCTTACCACAACACAGAGTTACACTGAGAGAGAACAGAGTTTCACTAACAGTTTCTACTTTTGCTAAATCTCTTGCCTCTCAATAAAACAGTGGGGACTAAAAGGTGATTGTACAAAAAGATCACTGTCATGCCGCCACTGCTTGGTAGTAACTCTACTATGAATCTGGGGTATTTACAATGAACATCGAGGTTATTTACAATATGGATTTGGTGACTCTGACATATTACAGGTAATTAAGTCAAACAAGTACTTTGTACAGACAGACCAGACAGTCTGAATAATATGATGAGGAAATTTTCATCCATCCAAAGGGAATTTTTATGATCACAGAAACACTGGCATTTGGTTTGTTTGTTTTTGTACCAGGGATCAAACTCAGGTCTTTTGCTTGAGAGGCAGGCATGGTGCCACTGAGCTAAATTCCCAGCCCCCTGTTTTATTTTTTGATACAGAGCCTCACTATGTAGCCCAGGCTGGCCTTGAACTTCTGGCGATTCTCCTGACTCAGTCTCCTGAGTACTGGGATTACAGGCACGTGACACCATTCCTGGCCAACACCAGCATTTTTATGGTCCAGAATCTCGCTTTGAGACAGGTAAATATGACAGGAGTATAGTGACACGTGGTGAAGATATGGACAAATTGTTCTTACCTTTAATCCAGTTTTAAATTTTCTGTTTCTTTTGTTTTTTGCTTTTTTGAGACGGGGTCTTGCTATGGAGTTCAGGCTGGCTTTCTTTCTTCCATTTTATCTCACCCCCAAGCCGCTCCCTATGTACAAATGCTTTGTTTCCATTTTTTCCTTCTATTTTTATTTTTTTTTCTGTCCTTTCCCTCCTTTTTTTTTTTTTCCTTTTGGTACCGGATCTAACTTGGGCCCTTGCACTTGTGAAGCAGGTGGCAAAACCACTGAGCCAAATACCTGGCCCTTTTCTGTCCTTTCCTTCCTTTCTCCTTCAGGCTCACTGTAAACTCATTATGTACCCCAGGTTGGCCTTGAAGTCATGGTGATCTTCCTCCATCAGGCTCCCCAGTGCTGGTATTACAGGTGTGTGCCACCATGCCCAATTTCAGAGTTTTAAATTTAGAATTAAAGATTAATCAGGTTTGGAAGAGAATAATCAACCAAGAGAATCTTTGACTGAAAATACTTAGAGACTGGGAACAGTACCCTAGAAACAGCATTACATCCTTATTTTTTATCTATTAAAAAGGGACAGGTAGAGGGCTGGGGATTTAGCTCAGTGGTGCTGTCGCCTGCCTTGCAAGCGTAAGGTCCTGAGTTCAGTCCCTGGTACCCCCCAAAAAAGGTGGGGGGACAGGTAGAAAGTAGGGGTGATCCAATGCAGCAAGTGTAGTTATTAGCAAGTATAGTTATTGCTTCTAACACTCTATGAACATACAAAGCTTACAAGCTGGGGCTGTAAAGGTCCACTGCCTCAAAAAGATACTGGAAAATCAGCTCTTACAGGAGCATAGGAAGTAGTGGGTACAGATGAAGCCTGAGGCCACTGCAGGACTGATGGGCAGTCCTTACTAAGCTCTTCTGCTTTTCCTATGTAGTTCATGAGTATCAAACAAGAGATCCATTTCTTGTTTGGTCTTGCTGAAATAAACCTGCTGGGGTCTTAGCCTTTTCTACCAGCCTAAATTATGTTACCTTTGCGTCTTGGTTTTTTAAATCCTGTTTCCAGAAGAGTATAAAAGACATTTATTTTTTATTATAAACCTCTATTTTAGTATTTGAGTTTACTGAAAAATTTGCTGGGTAACCACATTGGTTTTAGACCTGTCTGTTTTTTGTTTTGTTTTGTTTTTTACTGGGGATCGAACTCAGGACTTTGTACTTGCCAGGAAGGCAGCAGAACCACTGAGCTAAATCCCTGGCTTCTACCAGTTTTTTTTGGTACTGGGGATCAAACTGGGGTCCTTGCGCTTGTAAGTGAGGCTCTGGAACCACTGAGCTAAATCCCTGGCCCTTAGGGGCTTTTTGTTACTGTCTCCAGTGCGTACTTGGTTTTTATGTATGTGAATGTTTGCAACTATAGTGGAACCAGAAGCTTTTGAGCAACACTTTCAAATCTTATCTCCTGGTATGATACTCATATACATATTTTTAAAAATTCTTCTGACTCTATCATCCTAATTAGTAGGATACCTAACTGGTTATGCCCAACTCTTTCTTCATTGGCTATTATAAAATTAAGGTAAAATTAAAATTAAGTTGCTATATCAGTCAGGGTAGGCTGGGCTCTGCTGCAGTTGTGGAAAACTCCAGAAGCTTACCACTGGGTTTCTAAGCATTAATAGCAATTTTTGGTCAGATATTTCTCTGTTGTGATGCCTGAAATGTGAGTTTTGGGATGTCTGTCTGTCTGTCTTTTTGCAGTGATCTATCTATCTATCTATCTATCTATCTATCTATCTATCTATCTATCTATCTATCTATCTATGCTTTTGCAGTGGTAGTGACTGAACTCAGGCCCTTACACATGCAAAGTGTGTATTCTATTACCAAAGATACAGCCAAGTTTGGGATACCTGGCAGCATAACCTGCCTCCACCCACCAGACTCCAGTTGCATTACTTTAGCTGTGACAATCTGAAATGACTCGACACTGATGGATGTCTTCTGGGGCTACAGAGAGGAGATTATAACTCCTAGGAATTGTAATTTACAAAAACAAAATGATTTCTCCTTTGAATGCATCTGTTCCTTGAGAGCAAGGCAGTTTTTACAGTGCCTCCTCAATATTCCATGACCATGACTGTTGTACCATTTCTTTTTCAGCAAGTATGGGTTTACAACAAAGAATCAAAAATATCAAAGGCCTCAATCTCATCTCTTTTTCCAATATGAAATTCTTCTTTCCACTTAGGTTTAGTTTCCCTAAAACAAAATCAGATTCTAATACTTCCTGCTCTTCTTTATAACTATATCTTCCAATCTAATTTGCCGCTTTCTGAGAATTACATATAATATCCCCCAGTATTTTTTATATACAAAACTGCACTTTCTTCTGCTACAATAAAAAAACTTGAATTTTCTAAGGATCACTAGAATTTCCATACCTTTTAATTTCTTCCACTTTTTATTTTTTGGTGGTTTTA